GAAGTTTTAAATTAGTCAGCCTGAAATCTTGTTTGTTTGTAATTAGGCTTTAAATTAATTATTTTTCCATTTCCGCCGCGTAGCAAGAAACGAGAGCTGCTTAGTTGGTTAAGTTTGCAATTAATTGAAACTCCTCTAGACTTAACTTCGAAATACTGCCTAGAATTTCTAGCTAAATTTACTTTACGTTTTCTGGGTTCCCGTTACAAAAGAAAAACCGTGCCCAACTATTAGTTTAAAAATAATATCAGTATATATTAAAGGCTGCTGTTACAAGACACAAATTTATCATCTAATTTTATTACGGAACAATAGATTATTAGGCCGGGCAGGGCACAGAAGTTACAGCTATTTGCCTGTAAAAGTCCCATTAGTGAAACGCACACAGAAAATTGTTCGTCCCATGCCCCACCATTCATACTCTTGTCGCTATTTTATTTATGTTCCATTTTAAAGTTTGCTATTTTAATGTTATGTTCCATTTTTAAGTTTTTAAAATAACTTAAAATCATCATTATCCTTTTAGAAACTACAGCCATTTTCCAATTTCTTAACCTTTTCACGGTATTGACAGTTTGGGAAAGGTCTACAATTCCAATTCGCTTCAGTATATATTTTTGAAACTAAATTGAACTCTTAATTTAATTTTCTTATAAGTCCGTAGCTATAGTATAGTAGTATAGTAGTATCTATTACATATTAAATTAATAGAAAAAACTTTAACTAACTAAATAAAGAAAATAAATAATTTATTATTTATTTACTTTTTTATATTTATGTCGAGTTTCACAATCTGACACGTGTTTAACTTAAAGTGCTTAAAAGTTTTAATTAATTTTGAGAAGTTTTATCAGAGCTTCTAGATCATAATTGTTTTTTTGTTTAAGTAGTGATAATAATATACACTATCTGACATTTACAGATAATACATTTATTCTCCCACTAATAAAACTCATTTATTGTCTGTAGTTTTCGCGCGTATACATTTATATAAAACACTTTTAACGGATTGAAACACGAAATTAATTCGTTTCACTTAGTTTCAATTTTAAACCGTTAAAAGTGTTTTATTTAAACATTTCTTTAAAAATCGAAAATAAGTTGAAAAAATGTTCGACTCGGGCAGGACTTGAACCGGCATCGTCAGCGTTCCGTGCTGTTGCTCTACCAATTGAGCCACCGAGTCCTACACTTGTAGGAAAAGTTTTCAAACGTTAAACATTTCTTATCTACAATAATGCACGAAGGGTATTGCCAATTATAAAAGACTATACTAGCATATGTAAATAACTTTATTCATGGTTAAATATAAATTAACATTTTCAGGCCACAAATATTTACAAAGATCGCTCGTATTTCCGTAAGGTAACGGAAAGAGTGAGCGAGTAAGTTCGTTATTGGCTTGCACGAGCTGTGTAATGCTTCAGTTGCTTCGGATAGGCAAAGACTAGTAGAGTATGCAGTCTAGAGGCTATTAATGTATTTAGTAATTTCAATTTTAACATCTGCGTTAAAACACGAAACGACGAACGACACGAACTTTAAAATTAAACACAATTATAATCTTTATTAAGAAGAACATAGCTTGGAAGATAAAGTCTTACTTCTGTCCAGTTTACCCGAGTAGGACACATTTATATTAAGCACTTTACCGGTTTCAAACACGTTGGATATTAGTCGTCTTTATAAAAACGCCGAGACGTAGTTAAAATAATTTTCATATAAGTTTAGCTAATATATATCGCGTTTTGAACCGGTATTAAATAAATTTATTTTTACAGTCTTTTTTAAACATTGTATATGTTAAAATCTATTACTTTTCCGCACAACCTTGACGTATCTGTTTTTTCAAGTAGGTTCTTTAATCTTTGAGGAAGGAAATCGTTCTGGCTTGCATGCGCCGATACGGTTCCTATTCTTCAAATGTGTATTTCTACTTCCTAATTAGCCATTCGTGATTCATTATACGCAGTCTGATTTATTTTGTTTGTTAAATTGCACTCAGTTGACATTTCTGTGTCATAGATTAGTTATCATTATTCAATGTATGCGCTGCTAAACATTAATATCGCGTAAAAGTTTATCACGAACGAGAAGTGAAAACATAAGGAAATGATGCATCAGGCAATATTTATTTTTAATTTTATATTCATGGAAAGTGAGTTAAATATTCAAAAAATTAAATACTGTTTTAGGTATTGCATATGGCGAATGACAATTTTAAGCGAACCCAACATAATGGGGAAAGCAAAATCGCAAAAAAACTCCGCTGGACTGGCCATTTTGGAAGAATGGGAGATGATCGGAGTGTCAACAAAGCGTACATCGGAATTCCAACTGTCGGCTGGCCAAGACATCGCTAGAAGAACGCCGTGGAGATGGACTTCGATGCAGCGCGAGATCGCTGTGGCCGAATGGTGGTGTTAGTTTCGGAGGCCAAGACTCACTTTGGTTGCTGTGCTAGCGGAATAAGTAAGTAAGTATCACACACATGCACAAGCACATGGTGCGTGAATTGCACATGGTATGGCACATAAGACACAGAAGAAAAATATCCTAGTTGGGTTCAGCGGCAGCCCGGAACGCTGTGGGCGCCGGTTCAAGTTTCGTATGTTTTCCCAAGCTAAATATATTTCAATTTAGATTAGAGAGAAAAGATTGATTGATTAAAAGGTAAAGTAAGTTTTTTCATTAAGTTTCCTGTACCTAAGAAATACTTTTTAGTAAACGGTTTGAACAAAATAACATAAATGATTATACTGTCTATAGTTTACGCGACTAGTACACATTTAAATAAAACACTTTAACGGTTTAAAACGCGATATATTAGTTAAACTTATTTGAAAATAGTTTTTATATTCGACCCGACGTTTCGAATGCTTTGCAGCAGCCGAAACGTCTCCCCGTGACCACGGCTGCTACAAAGCATATGTTACTAATTACATTTTTTCAGAACTCTTTTTTCTTCAAAATTCAATCTAGATATTAAATGTGTGGTATATCGAACCACCGTCCTCATTAGAAAAAACCGTGAAGTTTAAATGCGCTTCAGTTTCAGTCTACGAAATTAGAAAAAGATCGTTAACCTATCTTAATTAGATGTCATAGAACTATTTATCTTAAAGCGAATCTCATGGTTATCTGTCCACTACCTTTCTTTATTTTAAATAGAACCGACTTCGATACAAGGTTTAAAACGGAAAGAAATGATTCAATCATTGTTACAATTTAAATAATACTACCAATTTTATAACAATATGTAACGATCCATTCCGCCGATCTATTACATTAAAGTAAATATTTGAAAGGGAGCGATATACGGCTTGCCGCGTGTTAGACAAAGATAGACATAGAATAATTCGATAGTGAAAGTAGAAAGCTTGACAATGTATTTTTTGTATTATTTTATTGAATGGCTTGTTGTATTTATTTTTAATCGAAAGTGAGTTAAGTAGAAACTAATCTACACGGAATGTACTCACGATTATTTTTTTTACCAAGAACTAGACTTATGGAATAAAATATATTGGTTTTAGGCGTTTATTGTCTACTGTTCCTTCCATAAGGTGCCAAACAACCTGATAACCTGCCATTTCAGCAGAAGGTAATAAAGTGAAATCCCGTTTCCCCCTCGTGGGGCATTGGGCGAACACATTTTTGTGTTCGTATCACTGATCCGTTCTTTAACAGGCAAGTAGTTGATAAGACTTCTGTGCCCAACCCGACCGGAACAACTTTTTTGTAGTTCCCCTGGGATTCGAACCCAGGACCTCTCGCGCATAACGCAATGCTAGGCAACGTTTAACCATTTGGTGTCAGAGGCGGTTACAGGCGGAAAGTAATACTATACCTTTAATGATATAAATTAGGTATGTAAGCTATATAGACTATAGATATATGTACTTTCAAAACCCTAAGATTATAAATCAAGTACAAACATACAACAATTTTTCTTTTTATAAGGCTTATAATATACTTAAAATAAATTTCGGGTATGATCTATATTATCTGGGAAAATAAACAAAATCATCAAATATGAGACAGTGAAGTACGGCTCAGTTATTTTATATGGAACTTTTATTTAAGAACTTTATACTTTATTTAAGAAAGAAACGTTTTACAAGGCTTACATATGTATATATATGTTATCTCATACAGCAACGAATCACATTACATCCACCATACACTTCATATAAACTATATCTTGGCAGAATAAAACAATGGAACATTACTCAAGCAACAAGTAATTGAGTTATCTTCACGAGAGCGTTGTTCTAAACCCAATAAAACTGTAATGCCTTGTAGTGAATATTAAAAACCTGCATGATAAAATTTGCATTGGATGATGTAATGTTTAATAAAATTCAAGTAGCAATAACGTCTAGTAGAAAGAAAATTGATTATACTTTTAATAACATTTCGTTGGGTTTCGCTTATTAAGAGAGATGTCTTATAATATTAAATATTTCATTAAGTACATATTAGTACAAAGGAGAATATGGTGGTCTCAATAAAGTTTTACGTTGAAATTAAAAAATTCGTGAAGTTTTAAATTTTTTTACGAACAAATAGTTTATCAGATTTTGTGCACGATCGAAATTAAATTGTGTCGACGCGCAAATAAAAAAACTACGTTTTTTAATAGCACTGAAACACATATAAACTACATAGGCTGTTTTAGTCATAAAACATACTTAATATTGTTGGAACTGTTTGACACACATCCAGTTTTCTAATTTCCTTTATTCTCACCATTTTCCACGATTTTCATCCATTTCCAAGCGCACTTTCTTCCCATATCAACACAAGTCATTAAAAAAGGTTTTATCCACAATACGACAATTAAAATAATTGCACGAAGCAGACTGTAAAATTGTCATCAGCAGAATTGCCCATACTTTTTCTCGCAGCCGTACTTAGTCGTCGTTTTTTCGAAAGCCACTATAAAAGGCTTAATATCAAACCTTTCACACTTATTTCTCGAACCAGTGCTTAGAAAAATGTACCGGAAAATTGTCATTGTGGCCCTTTTCTCGAGCGCTTGCGCTCTGCTTGAGGGCGATGTGGATTTGACCGATGGGGTGAAATTAGTTAGTGTACCCATATCGAATAGTTTGGAGGATGAGGGTAGGTCACTCGGTGATTCTACTTTGTATAAAATCGCGAAGTTCCTCCAAGGGCACGAGTTGCACGTGAAACTACCTAACCTAGTTGAAAAGGAGAAACTGAGCCGTGTCTTCGCGGAATCGCTGAAGGCTGTCGACGATTCGTACAAGGAAAGCAATGGTAAGAATATATAGTTCTAGTAAGATATGTTATTTATTTCTATAATATAAATCCCATATACAGTTTTATAGGACAATATAAATATGTACTATAATAAATTATTGTTTGTTTAAGCGTAGTACACATTTAAATAAAACACTTTTAACGGTTTAAAACGCGTAGTATATTAGTTAACAATATATTTTAACTACGGCCCGACGTTTTGGATGCTTTATTCAAATATTACTGTGGTAGTTACTTCTAGGGATTACTCATTCTTAATTTAAATGATTACTGTAATAGTTTAAATTAAGAATAAGATATTCCTTTTATAAAGTCATTTTTACGTTCATACGAGTAGCTGATAAGGCGCGTTAACACCACGTTAATTCTTATATTTAGTAACTAAACCAGTCTCAAACATACGACTTAAAATATGTCAAGTAATATTGTCTTCATTTCTGTAAATGATGGCATAAAATAAGTTATTATAAATATCACGTTTTCCTGATAAACTCTTACGGTTCTTGCGTTCCGCTTCGTCCCTACGTTCAGTAGCTAGTCCCTACGCTCCCAAATACACTTGCGTGCACAATAGTTGACTATTTCGGTGTTTAATATTATAATTTGGCAGTTGCAGGAGTTGCTTATAATAAACCAACTCCAAATTCCAGTTCATCCTCTACCAGCTTTCGTTTGATGAAATGGCGACTATTATGTACATATATTGCATACCCGCGTAGTGAACCTACACTAAACACGATGTTTACAAAATATTTTATTTGTTTAATAAGGCTTAGTAACTAGGCACGCAAACATGTTTTTAACTAATTGAGGTAACTGTTTATATAGATTATATCATTTTACATACAATAGTTAACATGTATATCTTATCCATATATTAAGTAAAATACTATTAATTTTTACATTGTTAAGTCCAAAGAAAAAGTCAGTAATTATATATTATTAATAATAGATCATCGGCAAGATAAGGGCTTGTTATAGAAACTACCGATTCAGTAATAACTTTAAGCGAGAGAAGTAGATTCGAAAACCGACAAAACATGATATTAGGTCATAAATTTTTCTTTGTTTACGTGAGTAGTAAAACACTTTTACGGTTTAAAATGCGATATACGTTATTTTAACTTATTACAAAAATATTTTAACCACGGCCGACGTTTCGGAGTTTTTTTCAGCAGCCGTGTTCACGGGAATACTTTTCAATGGCGTTAGGTGGGTGCGATGGCGACTGATAATTTTCAAATAACTTTCACTTTCGTATAACACGTTTTAAACCGTTAAAGAGTTTTATTTAAATGTGTACTACTCGCGTAAACAAAACAAGATGTATGTTTTGTTTAAATTCTTATCAACTATTTACTTCGATCGAAAAGAACACTAAAATGACTCTGCTTGGCTTTATAAAGGAGATTTCACACTTATATCATCTAGAAAACGATATTTCTCTGAAAGATTCAAGTATGCTGCGCTTAAAATAAAATAAAAAACGTCAAATGAAGTGTGCTCTTGTATAAATGAAATATTACAATAATAATACAGTTTTAGATTGAATATTGAAACCATTGCGTGATGTTTCTGTCACGCTTTTCTTAGTTGAAAGCGAGTCTAGTATTAAATACGGTTATTAAAACATAATATAATAATATATTTTCATAAAAGCGAACATACGTGTTACCAGTGTGGGGCAATGACCGTAAAAGTAAAGACATAGTTGTTTTAAATGTTTTTTAAGTGTCATATAATTTATAAATTTTTTCTTTTGGAAAAGTTTGTTGTTTTAACTGAGTTGTACTAATAAAAAAAGTAAATAAATCTAAATAAACGATACTTTTAAAAATCTTAGCAAAGAGGTTTTATGTCAAGAAAGTGGTCAATATTTTATACATAAAATTAACTTTTGGAAATAAACCATAACAAATAAACATTTAATTCTTTAATTTAAATAATTTTGACAATAAATTACAACCATTTATCTTTAACAAAAACACAAAAATATTAATTTATTTTATTAGTAATACTGGTTGTTTTTGTACCTTTGCCTAAAAAAAAACGTTGATGCGCGCGCATCGCTTATTTGTGGACAAGCAAAAATAATTCCGCGCACTTTTTCTTTTCGCAGTATTGTTTTTATTTGAAAATGTCGTCAAGTAGTGATGAATTTATTAATTTCCTCGTAAATATGTTAGAAAACGTCGTATGACATACGTGCGCTTTGAAAATTACAGCCTCTGCTTTCTTATAGCCCTCGCCGATGGCTCGGGCTAGTAATATCGCCTCGACTGTAATTTTCAACTTACCGCACTTATATCATAATGGCATCATAATTTAATGCATCATCGTTACAACGTCAAGCCGTAATTAAACTAAATTCTAAACAAGCAAACAACTATAAACGAGCCGCACAAATTTAAGTTTAAATAAAAAATATTTTAACGGTTTAAAAAGCGAAATGTAGCTAAATAGTAGCAGTCTCCCCGTGACCACTGCTGCAAAGTACCAAAAACGTCGCACCGTGATTAAAGTAATTTTAAACAAGTTTAAGTAATATATTTCACGTTTTAAACCGTTAAAGTGTTTCATTTATATGTATATTATATAATTGTATCTCTAGTAATACGATAGGCACGATAAATCTCATTAATCATTATATACTATTAGTACCAAAGTAAGCCTAATAAAAATGTTCTCATTAGTTACAGGGCGCGGTAAGGGCGATGGCGGTGCGGGGTCAGCGGCCTTATTAGGGCTTATGTTCGCCAAAACCCTTGGAGCAGCTGGAATTGGCGGCTTGGGTCTTCTTACTATGAAAGTGAGTTAACACTTGTGACCCGAACTAATCCTATACTTGTAACGTAATCCTAGCTTTCGCAGGGTATCCTTAACAAGACGATTTTATGTTCAAATTTATAGGAAATGGAATATAATTAAGACGGACGCTTCCTCCATCTTAATAGTCAAACGCTTTACTAAGCTTTCTATTAAGCATGATAGATCCAGGATTTGAACCCAAGAACTCGAGTTAATCAACCTTAACCTTAAAACATGACAAGACATGTGTTTACTTCAAGGAAAGAAAATTACACAGACTTTTACTGAAAAGTATACAAACATTTTAGGGCACCACCGAGAGTCGAACCGACGATCTTTTATGCAAATACGAAGAGACCAACGATTTTTACAGATATGATTTTTTGAAAGAAATCTTTTGGATCTCTTCTTTGTTCCATTATATGAAAATTATTAAGAATTTTCACTAGTACATGTGTTTCTAATTTCAGTTTTTTCTCCATCATAAATCCTTAATTGTATCAAAGACATATCTGTCTGTCTAAAGTTATCGTAAATTTTTCAGTATTTAATATCTTTGATGCAACTTGGGTTTATAAGAGAACGAAACATAAGGCTAATTTCACAAGTCAACCAGTTTACGAGTGTCCTGCTATCCAAATAAATTAAATGAACTTTTAAAGCTTAGGTCACATGAAATGCTAAGCGAATTGAAGTAGGATATTCCTGTGAGCTTGTTTGGAGTAGTATTTTGTTTAAGTTAGTCGTAGTTGAATAAAAATGTTACTTATGTTATAGTTAAATTTCATGTATAGAGAAATGTATACAAAAATATTTTAAAACATTGTAAAGGTTGTGAGGACCCATTCTTGTGTGTAACAAATGTGGCAGACACAGAAATACATATTAATGCATATAAATTCCATTAAGGAACAATAAATTATACATTTGTTTCATCAACCTCGTTAAAAATGTTTTAACGTCGTTATAGTACCACATAGCATATTTAGTACCTAAATAATGATTTATATTTTTTTTGCGTCAATTAAGTAACAATATAGGAGGCTGCTAGAGGCAGAGTGGCCTAATAACAAAAATGATGAAAATAAAAATGCGCAATTAACATAGGCGAAAATGAATTTGTACTATTATTTGTGTAAGAATTATGTAACAATTTACGACTAATGTGCTCTTGTAGATTAAAATTTTTAGACTATGAGAATGTAAATAACTCCAATCAAAGTTGCAGTTAGGCGACTCTGCCTCTAGCGGCTTCGTATGACATAGTTTCTATTATTTTCATCGTAGTATGAACGAAGCACAACATCTATCAATTTTATTGTCGCAAAGAGCATTGCCTCCTATTTGACAATATTTGTTTTAAATTAAGTGTCATCGACATATTTTATTGAGAAATTGAAATTCAATTAACTGAATGAGACTCTCCATTAGATCAAGATTAATTAATATAATTTGAGCTAGAATTTTCTTAGCACATTAACCTTGGAGAGATCTTGACAGAGAATGTTCTGACAGATTTGATTGCAATATAGTTGAAAATATAATTAATACAGTCACACTGAATTAATTCATGTATTGTAGAATAATCTTCATTATATTATGATATAAACACTTATGCACTCCTAGATCTTAGAATTGCTTAGAGTTTCTACGTGGAAGTGTCGTTAAAAAAGACTCACTTATTAATATCGTCAATATTTTCATATATACTCGCTATTTTTTACGCCGCAAAAAAAATTATAGCAATATATACCAACCTTTGTGTTCTTGCATTGGCTATGCATGTGACTCGATTGATTTTTTCAAAAGTTAGGTACACAAATTTAAAAGAGATCTTGAGAGAGAGGTTTGACTCCCGGTTAATAATATTTATTCAGTTTATAATGTAATAAAAATAGTATCATAACTCTTAAATTTCAGGCGCTGGCTGTGTCTGCTCTTGCTCTGATGCTATCAGCAATCGTAGGAGTGAAAAAACTGACTTCTCATGATGAGCACGACGACCACCAAGTGATATATGCTGGCCACGGTCACCATAGACGAAGGCGACAAGTAGAAACGCCTCTACCTTATCAAGGGTGGATTAAATATCAAAAGTGATTTATAGCCAATCGAATGAATATTATTTATATTATTTATTTGTAAATACTGTTTACTTAATAAATTATTTTGAGATTTAATTGAGTTTCATTTATATGAAATTTTACTTTACTCTCTTGATTAAATTGTCTTTCCTAGCTACTTACAATATTACTGTGATTTTTATTATAATTTTTGTCCATAGTGCTAAGCTAAGGACGACAGGATCTCACGGGTCAGGGTGATTTGCGGTTCGGACGATATTCTTAAATGCCATTTAATATCCAGATTTTGCATTTATCGTCGACTTTGTGCTTAGCACACGAGTGTACTAACTACTAGACAGGGCAGGGTATTAAACAACAAGGTAATGACTGTTAGACCCACCCATCGTTTCCAGGCTGTTTGTTTCACATAAACTCCATTATTCACGCACCTGTAGGACCAAAGCGTATAAAGATAAAAGCAATACAATAGAAAATCAAATAAACCCAACTGGACCATGAATGCGTAAATTTTTCTTCGCGGTAAGGACGTGGTAGATAGTAGCGGAATCTTTTGAAGAGACTTTAAAACACTTTTAATTATAATTTAATTAATAAATACAATTTCAATAAACTAAGACGCTATTTTAAATTAAATTGTAAAAGCAAACGAATCGTATATTATTTTTATACATTAGCTTTTAATTCAAAAATAGGTAATAAGTAAGGTAGGTAAATATAATAATCGTAATTTTTACGCTCGCATAAATTAATATATGTACAACAATTATAATTTTGACTTTCAAGTTAATCATGTTAATTTAATAGTGTAAATACAAGATATCTGTATATTATATGGTTTTGTGAAAATTAAATGGCAAAACATAACTTTTGACGGGCATTTTGAGAGCTTTTCGCCATTTTAAGGCGATTTATCAGATCATTTCTAACTTTCACAAAAACATAATTTTTATATGAATAATTTTAACTTCAATATAAAAACATGTTCATTAAATCTATTACATATTTTGACCAGTTTGAAAGTTATAAGCTTTTAGTCTAGACACTCCAATAAATTGAAAAAAATCCGCGCCTCTTATCAGAGTGTCCAAGCCTCAATAGCAGACATGAATAGTCTCATTTCAAGCGGAAACGACACACAAGCCACACTACCTGGCGAATAAAATGGGATTTAATACCTCACGGAACTTTATTATACAGTTGTGTCGAACATGTGTTATCTTTACACTAAAAACCGTTTATTATGGGAACGGTAACATTGTTTAGTTTCTTTTTTTACTAGCTGTGTCAGTGACTTCGTCCGAGTAGATTGGTAATTTTTGGCATTCAAATTTGCTTTAGGAATAGGTATGTAACCTATTCCTCCTCTTTCGCACCTTTGTAACTATTACAGATGACGATGGACGCGTCCCGTTGTCCTTCCAAGTTAATTTTAAAAGATAGACATATAATAAGGATATTATAAATAAGTAATTATTCTTTCATATATATTTTTGGGTATCGGGAGCCGTTTTCGCAGCGTACGCATGGGAAACCCACAAGGTTTAATAATTTTCCCCGTTTTCGCCACATTTCCCGCTGTTTCCTCGCTTCCATTAGAGACAGCGCAAAGTTTTATAGCCTATAGCCTTCCTCGATAATACCTCTAACCAAATTTATATATGAGTATAGATTTCAATGATTTTATTATGTAAAGGGAATATTTGTAAAAGTCTGATAAAAAATGGAATAGACATTACGAATAGTACTTCGGAAACGATGTTATAATTCCATTATTTTTTCTACGCCACTATTCTTCCTTATAAAATACGTCTTCGATTATATTTTTCATTTCTTATAATTTCATTAGCATCAAGACTCGAGAGGAAACATGAATTCACGGGAAATGAATCTCATTGATTTATGAAAGGGAAGACGAGCTTCGTTTTTCAGGGTTCCGTAAAGAGAGGTTACATTTATTTATTTGATTAACCAACATTCTTACAACTTTCTTCGTCGACTTCGTTAGGAAATCTGGATATTAAATTATGAACCCCATGCTTTTCTATTTTCCTGAAAAAAAAAACTATAGAAACAGTGTTTATGACATAATTATTGTCATAAACACTGTTTCTTCTTTTTTTTCAGGAAAATAGAAAAGCATGGGGTTCATAATTTAATATCCAGATTTCCTAACGAAGTCCGAAGTTTCAGAAATATTATAACATGATTAGAAATATGTTGAACCCCGTCGGGATCGAATACACGACCCGTTGTTTACAAATCATACATTGCTACCATTATACATACATATATCCCATGTCCCATTGCAAGAAGCACTTTTTTAACATTCACATGGTCTGTTCCAGCCTTTTCTTATTTAGAAACTTCGTTTATAACACGAATATTCGCACGTCATAATAAACTGTAGGCGGAAACTTTACGGAACTCTAATAAAAGAACGTTATGTTTTCGATATTTTATCTGAATATTAGAATTGGTCCGGATATTAGTCTCCGGATTTCTACACTGTACTCGTAAAAGAAATATTCCTAGAGTTATGGCTTGCCACGTCTCTGATAATATTACTTTTGTGCTAAGTCTGGCTCCAATTTTCGATAAAATAGATGCCTGCCCATTGACATATAAATTACTGTTTTATTAAAGCAAAAACTTAAATCTCATCGACGGGAAAGTAACAAATACAACCACAATATAAACATCTTTATAAGCTTTTCAATTTTCAATTATGCTGCATTTGGTTTTCACTGCAGCTAAATTAATTTTTACCACTTATTCGGCTTAATGATCCTCGTTGGTTTCATTATGTTTCTAATCAATTCGTAATTTTTAAAACACTTCCTGTGCCTATAATCTGTCCTCCTCTGTCTTAAAAAAAGAAGTGGTCAAAGGTAAAAATCTATTAATACGTAAACAAACCATTTATTTAATACAAAACATAAATATTAGTGCAATTGGCATATTAAAATTTTCATTCAACGCTCTCTATTAAAACAACACAAAATATCATGGTGATACATTAAAACTACACCAGTTCTAAGACACTGTCGATTACTTAACTTAGTTCCTAATACGGCTAATAGATGGCAGTATCTTCAAAGTATTTAATAATATTTTCTACATTAAACTAACTACGTAAATATCATCAAATGAGAACAACTTGAATGTCATATTTTAAAGGTTTTTAAAATGCTGGTCTTTGAATGTGTTCCTACAAAAAGCTTAGGTAAAATAGGTATACAACTGTTTTATCAAACCTCCATGTTTTGGCTCAATACAACACAGTTTGAATTTCTTTATGAATCAATTCGCTAAGCCTTACATTTCGATTTCTACACTATTCATTTATAAAGCTACGTGCAGACCACAGACTATCGATCATTAGTCAAAGTGCGGATATTACAGTATGTACTTCTAGCGTAAATTTCAGACATTACAATTCTCTACTGGCTTAAAAGTTCTCTTCGTAAAGGGTTTCATGATAACTAAACTTAGCCATATAATAGGTTTAGTTTTATAATTATTTAGTCTAACTAAGGTAAGCAATCTGCTGACATTTCTGGGTCGTGCAATTTGACTCAAATCAACTCCGACAATGCCTCACTTTTTTGTTTGATGGGTGTGCAAACGAATCGTCTGACTCAACTTTATTATTGGCTTATGGAAATTCTGTAGTCTGTGCTAAGCCTAAATGGTCAATACTATATAATGCACTATTTTTCTGTCTATGTACAGACAGCAAAGAAATGGTTGTGGATAACTAAAACGTACATGGAACAACAAATATATCTATTTATTTTATTTAATTTTACTTAATTGTCCGTACATGTTAATATTTAAATAACTTTTGTAAAATGCAATTATTATATCTTTAAAAACTTTATATTCCCATTTTAATAGTCTTATGTATAATTAAATAGGTAATTAATACACACATAAGCCATATATTTTTATATAAAAATAAATAATTAGTTTAAAGCTAATTTGTTGTCTGTACATGCCTATATTGTGACTCGTGCCAGATCCGGTTTTGCTATTAGAAAGAAAATAAACTTATGTGTTAACTTATATCCTATCACTTCTGTTTGGTGTTATATGTCTCGATACTGATAATTTAAATAGCTTTAATTATGCTTAAAATTATATAGTAAAATAAAATACCATCATATAAAACATAAATAAGATAACATTGTACAAATGTCTCAAAACACTATTGTGGTCAATTTTATTCTCCTGGGTCAAATAATAAATCGTTATGCTGGAACATAAGAAAGATTTATTATTTGATTCTCTGCGTCTTGTTTTAATAGGTGTTTTTCTCAATCTTTTATTAATAATACATTTAATCAATTCTAGGCATACATTAAAGATCAACTTAGATTTAAAAATTTGATAACAAGGGCGGGATTTCAACCAGCATACACAGAAAACACATTTTTACGATAGATGAAGACAGTCACGCTCGGAGTTTGTGAAACACCAGCCAAGTAACATCTAAACAAGATACACTATCGACTTATTTTAGTTTTGAATATTTGTAAATCAACAGACTGAAACAGAAACGCGACCAAACATCACGTCTTTTTATCTGTGGACCGTTGTTCGTGACCCGGATGGAGTTTTAATATTCCTACCATCAATTTAATGTTCACGTTTTCATACAAAGTCCGGCATGTTGATAAGAAGCATTGGATCCGGTGGGGGTTGAACCCACGACCGGGTGATTACATTATACATTTTTTAATAAAACACTTTAACGGTTTAAAACGCGATATATTAGTTATACTTATTTGAAAACGATTTTTAACTTCGACCCGAGCCGTGGTGCGGCTGCTGCAAAGCATCCGAAACGTCGGGCCGAAGTTAAAAACCATTTTCAAAGAAGTTTAACTAATATATCGCGTTTTAAACCGTTAAAGTGTTTTATTTAAATGTGTACTACTCGCGTAAACTATAGACAGTATTTACATTATACATTGCTACTGTAAGCCCAACGAGCCCATTAAAACTCAAATA